CGAGTTTCGAAGAAAGGGTGGATGAGAGGAGGGCAAGCCTGGGTGAGACCGCTGCAGTGAGGCGCTCAGTGCTTCACTGAGGGGAAGAGTGTGAGGTCTCAGCGTGCATCCTTGCCGCTTCCTAGCTGTGCGACCTTACCCAGTGACTACCTTCTCTGTGCCTGACTTTCCTACGAAATGAAAATAATAATATACAGCTGACCCTTGAACAACTCTCTGACAGGTAAACAAATCATCTTGTCTTCAGAAAGGCTCATCTTGTCTGGAGAAATTTTTTAATCTTCTCAGATTAAAAAAAAAATTAATAACAGGCACCCAGGCTTTGCATTCCTGCAGGATATTCTTAGAGGGGAGGAGGTTGGACCCTGTATAGCCTCCCCCAAGTACCAGCCTATCTTTGGGTTGGACAGTTTAGAGCAGGAAACCCCTCCCATCAAGAATAATCTCGTTCTTAATGTCCGTGACTCACTGTTTTTAACTATATAAACTAACATCAAACTTATGTTTATTCAGAACAGCTCTCTCAGAGTAAGATCTGTTTGGGTTGCTCCGGGTTTGAATCCTCCATTGATTACCTAATCAACTTTTGTCTAACTATACTTGAGACATTATTTTCCAGTTAACAGCCAGAAGCCTTACTACTAACATGAACAGTTAATTAATAGATATTTGTGTGTTATATGTATTATATGCTGTATTCTAATGATAAAGGAAGCTGAAAAAAGAAAACGTTCTTCAGAAAATCAGAAGGAAGAGAAAGCACATTTCTGGTGCTGTGTTGCGCTTATCAATCCCATAAGCCTCCATCTATTTACATGAAGATCCATATGTAACTGGACCCGAGCACTTTAAACCCATGCTGGTCAAGGGTCAGCTGTACTTACTTTAAAAGTTTTTTTTGAAGATTAAATATATTTACAGCAGGTCCTCCCCGGTGGCACAGTGGTTGAGCGCTGGGCTGCAAAGCTGCCTGCAGTCTCTGCAGCGCCGGTTCGATCCCTGGCCGCTGGGCAAGGGGCCCACATGGCGCGCAGACCTCTCCTGCCGCGTCTGCTGCTCCCCTCAGTGGTGTACTTTGTCAGTCTGTCTGTTCTGCTCTCCTCTCTGGCTCTGGTGAATTCTCTCACCCTCCCATGCTTCTGACTGTACCCAGTGCTTGTATAAATAAATAAATAAATCTTTAAAAAAGAGCAGTACTTAGTACCTAGTGAGTACTATGTACATGTAGGCCATCATTTTATTCCCTAAGTGGTAGGGACTGTCTGCACCTGAGTCAGAGAGCTAGGAGGTAAACTAAGACAGGAATAAGCCAACAGACTCAGGTACTGGTTCTGAGAACAGGTTCTTAAAAGGTGAGAAACGCAGCAAGTCTCTTTGCATCTTCCCAGCACTGAGCAAAGATAAAAAGCCACTCTGGGTGTTGCCCTGGATAGTGTAGCCTGGCGAGAGAATAAGGCAGATGTGGGATCCTCTGTAATCCTAGAAGGAGAGTGGCAGAACCTACAAGTACCCAGGGGAAGGACCACTTGTAGCAGCAGCCTTGACCTTTGAGAAGAAATGAAGGAAGCTAGGGAGCAGAGCAGCATGGGCAAGGGTGCTGAGGTGGCTCACGTAACAGGGACTCTTGACTCAGTTCAATTCAGCCAAGTACTGAGTGCTTTCCATGCAATGCTGCTGGTTAGTCACTGTGTTCAGTCTCGTCAGCCACCTTTCGAGTGTGGTATTGCTATTCTCATTGTATGGATGAGTAAACTGAGAAGCAGAGAGAAACAACTGGCCCAGGGCCCCCCATTAGTGAATGAATGCTGGAGCCAGGCTTCTCACAAGCCCTCCCTGAATTCTAAAGCCGCTCTCTCTTCATGTCTGACCTCACCCTCAGGGAGCCTGGCAGGAGGGCAGGACAAGCCCAGCAGTCCTAACACCTCCACCCAAGTGGGCCATTCTCTTCTTCCTTGGCCCTACACCGGCACTGGGAATTCTGCCTACCACCTTTCATCCCCCTCACTGATTCCTAAACATCACCCTTCAAGGCTGGAGTCACACCTCGGAAGTTTCCAAAACACCCACTTACTGCACTTCTCCAACAATCAAGTCACCCTGGTCACAGCACAGTTACCCTCTCCACACGGTTTCCATGGGGGACTCTCCCAAGCTATATAGCCCCTGCTCTCTTGTCTTGCACACCCTTCAGCCTCCAGGCTCAGGGCTAAATCAGCAATGAATAAACGGACCCTATCACGCCCTCATAGTCACAGCTCTAATGAGGAGATATATAATCAAAAGATCACACCCACTGGTGTGTGTGTGATAAGAAGTCATCTGTCACCTGTTAGTGAGTACAAGGGGTAATGAGATATTTATTTATGATCTGATGTAATCAGGAGTCAGGGTAGTTTCCTAGGGGAGGAGAAAGGACTGATATTTGTGCTGTAATTTGAAGGTGATGAGACCTTCATTGGAGAGATTCAGGCAGAGGAATAGTGTGTGCAAAGGCCCTGAGGCAGGAGGAAACAAGGTGTATCTGGGGGTAAAGTGGGGGCCTTGCTGACTGGACCACAGGGAGCTGGAGGAAAACTTGCCCAAGATACAGCTGAAGAGGCTCAAAGGGCTTTGGGATTTTGCAGGATTTTGGACGGGGAGGTGCAGGTAGGCAGAGGGCAGTGAAAATGGACCTGCACAGTGCGGATGCTCAGCAGGTACTCCTGAAGCTAGAGAGCACTCCTAGGGGAGCCGTGGAGCTGCTGAGCTAATGACAGCCCTAGATGTGCTGGCCAGGCGCCCCCGCATCAAGGACTGTGGCCACCTCCCTGGGTGTAGGCTGGTGGCCTCCACCTTCAGCTGGAGCGATGGGTTTGAGAACTGTGACCCCAAGTGATGCTCAAGCTCCCTGCTGTGGATTGGTGCCTCTTGGGGACTGACTGATGCTTTTCCCAAAGACAGAAAAGATTCTGAGAAGGGAACAGCAGCTGATGTAACTTTGGCCACAGGCCACAGGAGAGCAGCCTAGGAATTGTGGTTTTGCTTCCCCTCTGTCGCCAATATTAAAGGCAGGGAATTGATAAGCCACCCAGCCAGGATCCCTGTGCCTTTGCAGTTAACCTCTTGACTCCTGTCAAGAAGGGAGTAGGATCAAAACAAGGGGGGGTGGCAATTGTATGGGGACTATAACCAAGATGAAAATGCATACATTGTGCAAAAACAAAAAATGATGTAAAAAATATATAATATAAAATTTAAAAAAAGAAAAAAACAACTTTGCTTTATTTTGTTGGTATTTGGGGTTATAAGTCTCTGAGAACATTCCAAGTAAGAAAGCTGTTCACCATCAGTGGAGGGGGCCAGTGCTCTTGTCTGGAGCCAAGGTCAGAGCCTCGGACTTGACATCACTTTTAAGAAAAAAATAATAATAATAAAAAGTAAAGGTACTATTCTCCCTTACCTCATTCCCCAGATATAACTAATCATATATATGTTTATATATACATTTTATATAAATCATATACCTGTATCATTTTGTCCTCCAACCAGGTTTTCAGTGAGTAAAAGTCATTGATCTCACTGAGAAAATGAATTTTTAGAAGTATCCTTTATAATAAATGGTATATATTACATAAATATAAAGGAAGATTATATTTACATAAAAGATGAAAATCCTGGCCATACTTACTAATAAACCTTATTTTATTGGAAGGAAAGATGTATCTATCTATACCTATCTATACATATGATAGCTATATCTATACATGTGCAGGAATAGATAAAAATATCTTAAAATATACAATTCTATATAATTATGTAATGTAGATGTCATTAAACATGCCAGAGTTATTAAATATTCTTTGGTCAAAAAAAAAAAAAGAAATCCATTCTCTGGTTGGTTCACTTTGGTTAAAAGCAAATGCCCCCTCGGGGAAGAAAGCAGCATTATGTAACTTAATGCCCTGGCCCCACAGGCTTTTGTGTCCTCTTCCTGGCGGCAGATTCCTCTAATCCTGTTCCCAGGAGGCTGGGGCAGGGTAGCCAGGGAGGTGGACAAGAAGCCTGTTGGGGGAAGGAGAGAGGGAGCCTATGGGCCTTTGGGGCAGTTTCTGGGCAAAGAAATGAGGTGTGGAAGACCCAGTTGTTCTTCAAGTAGGTGTCTCAGCGCGTCCCCCTTGACACTCGGACAAGAGGGTCAGTGCCAGGCCTGGCAGGGTAAACAAGGGATGCGGGGAGACCCAGAAACCCAAAAAGCCACACGAATACAAATTGTGACAAAGTCTAGTGACTGAGCACAAGTCTGCCCAAGTGACAAAGCACTGGGCTCAACACCAAGACTTATACCAGGTGGAATCAAGTAATTGAAATATGCCTTAACCAGACAGGGAAGACCTCTGGAGCCAGTGTGGGAGGGTCACAGGCCTTTCAGCTTTGCTTCAGCTCCCCCAGGCAAGGAGTGCCCCCCGCTGGAGCCATGCAGAGCTTTGCAAACCAATTCAGGAGGGGGTCACCTGGTAGTGCTGAACCTGTGGCCATGAGGACCCCAGGTTGGGGCAGTGGAAGTCAGCTCCCTGACTGGTTCGCAGGTAGAGACAGGAGAAGAGCAAAGGGGAGGGGGGAGGCAGGAGGGAAGGAGGAGAGAGGAATGAAACTAGAGGAAATGTAGCAAGAGGAAATGTAGCAAGAGGAGACAAACACCCAGTGAGGCTGGGAATCCTCTGGAGAGGAACTGGTCTTCCCATTCAGACTGGGTCTCCCTAAGTGTATGTTTTATGGCCCATCAGGGCAGGGACTGGGCCTCTCCCATCAGACTGTGGGGTTCCTCCAAGTGGGGACTATGTCAAATATGAACGACGCTTGCTTTTTCTCCTGAGGTCCTAGGAAGGTTGATGGAGGGGAGGAAACTCATAGGGCTCCCCAAGAACAGGGGGACATCCTCCCCTCACTATCCAGATCCTCCAGGTGGGTGACCCTCCAGCCACGCTAATCATGGCCCTGCTGCCCTTTCCTCTTTGCCCCAGGGTTCACGGATACCTTCAACATGGACACCAGGAAGCCCCGGGTCATCCCTGGCTCCAGGAGTGCCTTCTTTGGCTACACAGTGCAGCAGCATGACATCGGAGGCAAGAAGTGGTGAGTGAGCTCGGCCCCCACTCAGGGCCCCCTCCCCTCTCTCCACCCTGCCCCCGCTATAACTATAAAGGGGACCATTTTGCAGGCCCCATCTGGGTGATGTGACAGCACAGGAGTCAGGCACCAGGAACCCATAGTCACCCCTTCCTCACTCACCCTACACCACCACTCAGAAGTGGCTTTATCTCTCAGATAGATAGATAGATAGATAGATAGATAGATAGATAGATAGATAGATAGATAGATAGATAGATAGATAGATAGATAGATAGATAGATAGATAGATATGAAAGGAGTATCTTATTATCTTCCAATTAGGTATGACTTAGATACTATAAGTGTAGACATCTTATACATACAGCTCAATGAATTTTTATATCTGTCTCTGCCCATGTAACCACTTCCAAGAACACAATTTAGAACATTTTCAGCTCCCCCAGGAAGCCCCTTGATCAGCCTAGTCGGTGTCCCTCTAGGTAATCACTTTTCTACTAATCTATTGCATAGATTCATTTTGCCTATTTTTGAACTTCATACATGGACATGTTTAATGTCTCATGCTTTAAGCTTCTTCACAGAAGTATAATATTTCACTGTAGCAATATATCACTTTTCAGTTTTATTGAGATATATTAACATATATCATTGTATGCAATTAAATGTGCAGCATGATAGTTTGATTTACATATGTGTAAATCAAAATATTCCAGGTATGTTTATACCACAACTTCTTTACCCTTCCATCCATTGATAGACACTGGTTGTTTTTATGTCTTAGGTATTGTAAATAAGACTACAATCAGAAATGATTTCCAGTAAGTTCAGCTAACTAATAACCATCTTCTCATATAGATAAATAAAAAGTACAAAGGAAAAGAAAATAAATCCTCTCCTTGTGATGGGAACTCTCAGGATTTACTTTCTTAACAATCTTTCCACACATCATACTGAATCATGTATGATGTATGGAATCATCATTCGATGTGGTGTATGGAAAACATACAACATTAACTATAGTCATTATCTTGTACATCACATTCCTGTACTTCACTTACTTGTAACTGGAAGTTTGTATCTTTTGACCCTCTTCCTCTCATTCCCCTACCCTCAACCCTCCATCTCTTGTAACCACAAATAAGATCTCTGTCTATGAGTTTGGGTTTTGTTTTGTTTTTAGATTCCATATGTAACTGAGATCATACAGTATATTTCTCACTTTAACTTATTCAGTTAACAGAATGCCTTCAAGATCCATCAATGTTGTTGCACATTTTAGGAGTTCCTCGTTTTAAATGGTTGACTAATATTCCAGTGTTTATACTACAACTTCCTAACCCTTCCAACCACTAATGGACATTGGTTGTTTTCATGTCTTAGGTACTGTAATAAGACTACTATGAACATGAGGGTGCAGATGTCTTTTCAAATCAGTGTTTTCATTTCCTTTAATATATTCCTAGAAATACAATTGCTAGATCATATAATCATTCTATTTTTAATTTTTTGAGGATCCTGCAATTTTCCAAAGTGGCAATACCAACCACTATTTATTCATTGTACTGTTAACAAATATATGGATTGTTTGTATTTTTGGCTATTCCTAATAGAGATGGTATTAACATTTGTACATTTGTCTTTTGATGGATATATGCACTTATTTTCATTGGGCATATACACAGGAGTAGAACTGTTGAGTTAAAAAGCAGGTGTATGTTGAGATTTAGTAGATCTGTCAAGTTCTTTTTTTTTAATAATTAAACTTTATTGGTAACATGAAAAAGTTCCAATTGCTCTACATCCTCACTAACACTTAGTGTTATCAGGCTTTTTGTGTGTACGGTGGCATCTCATTGTGGGTTAAATTTGCATTTCTCTAATAACTAATAATGTTGAGCAACTTTCTATAAATTTATTGGCTGTTTTTGGTTTTGTGAAATTGCCTATCATGTGAAGCATCTAAGTGAGACTTGCATTTTTAAAATTGTATTGTGTGTCTTTTTCTTCTTGGTTTACAGGACTCTTAAAAATATATTCTGGGGCTTTCCCTGGTGGTGCAGTGGTTGAGTACTGGGTTGCAAGGCTGCCCACAGCCTCTGCAGTTCCACTTCGATCCCTGGCCACTGGCGAGGGTCTCACACACACACACACACACACACACACACATATATGCACACACACACACACACTATATATATATATATATATATTCTGTATACATAATTCTTTTTGAGAAAGAAGCATTGTAAATAACTCCTACTGGCCTGTGGTTTGCCTTTTCATTCTGTTAATGGTATCTTTTTATGAACAGAACTTCTTAGCTTTGATACAAGTTTAATTTATCAATATTTTCTATGGTTACTGGTTTTTGCGTGTCCTATTTCAGAAATCTCTGCCTTGCCCAAGAGTCATGAAGGCAGTCTCCTCTATTTTTTCCTAGAAGTTTGATTTTTTCAATGGTTTATGATTCATCTCAAATCAACTTTTATGTGTGGTATGAAATAAAGGTCAGAGGTGTTTTTTTTTCCGTGTGGAAAAACATGATTTTCATAACAATTGATTTTGTACCATTTGTTAAAAGACTGTGTGTTTCCTCCACTGAATTGTGTTTTTATCTTTGTCAAAAATAAGGTGACCATGTATGTATGGGTCTGTTTTTAGCTTCTATTCTATTCCATTTGTCTATCTAAACTTGCATCAAAAATCTTTAAAGTAAGTTTGGAAATCTAGTGTGAATTCTTTGAATTTGTTTTTTGGGGGGTTTGTTTTTAAGGTTTATTTTTATTTATTTATGCCTACAAAAGCTGGGGTGCAGGCCAGAGGTGTTGGGAGGGCAGTGAGAGGATTCACCAGAGACAGAGTGGGGAGCAGAACAGGCAGATCTACTGAAATACACTGCTGAGGGGAGCAGCAGGTGAGACAGGAGAGGTCTGTTGGGCCATGTGTGTAGCTTCTTGGCCAGGGATTAAACTCATGCAGCAGTGGCTGGCAATAGCTTGATAGGCTGAGACTTTAGCCCCTGTGCCACCAGGGTGGACCTCAAATTTGTTTTTCTTTGACAAGTTTGTTGGCTATGTTGGACCCTTTATTTTTTCATATGAAGTTTAGAAATAGCTTGTCAATTTCCTCCAATCAAACTTGCTAAGATTTTGATTGGGATTACATTGAATTTATAGATTAATGTGGCAAAGAATTAAATCTGAATGATACCAAGTTTCCCAATCCATGAACATGTATATCCCACCATTTATTTAATTTGGTTTTTGAAATAATTTTTTTCAATAGTGCTTTGAAATTTTCATTATAGAATTCTTACACATCTTTCATAATATTAATTCCTGAGTATCTTATATTTTATGCTGATTGAAATGGTATGTCCTTATTTCATTTTCCAATTTTTTTGCTACTATAGAAAAAAACAACTAATATTTATATAATTATGTTTTATCCAGCAACTTTACTAAATTCATGTATTATCTCTAACAATTTGCTGATAGACTCTATTAGAATTTTTATGTGTACAATCAACTATCTTAAATCATTAGTTTTGTTTCCCTTTTCCAGTCTTCATAGCACTTACTTCCTTTTCTGGCTCAAATACAAAGCCTAAGATCTTGAGTACAAGGCATATGATTTTGAACATGATTTTCTCATTTCCTTTATTACAGGACAAACTCTCAATATTTCATAACTAAATAAAATATTAATTGTAATTATCCATCTGTTTGTTGTAGATACTTTCAGATTAAAATTTTTTCTATAGTTATGCCTTTCTCCCAGGATTTTTCAGGGTCTTAACTGTACTACATAACTGACCTCCATTCTGACTGGGAAAAAACCTTACTATTACCCAAGCACTGAACAACCTCTATAACCTCTGCCCCGGTCCTGTTCTCTGACAGTATTCAGTGTCTCACACTACGCAGGCCCAGCTTAAGAGTTAGCTAAGGACCCAAGGTTGACTTTTCGCAGAGTTTTGGGGACTGTGGCTCTCTTCTTTCTAATTGTCCCCACCAAACCCTAGTCTTTGCCACCCAATTCCAATCATTGTTTCCTCCACCCAGAAAGACTGCTCCTCTCTGTTTGGGAACTATTTTCTCGTGTTCAAAAAATAAAGTGTCCCCACAGAGAGGGCTGGGGACAAATGTGGAGCTAGCTCCTGGGCTTCCCTTTTCTCAAGTATTGAGTTCTGTATTGATTCCTGTCCAGTGCCTAAAAATAGTTGTTTTTTATATTTTGTCTAGCTTTCATGTTGTTTATAGCCGGAATTGAATGTCCTTTTTCATATTCATTTATCAACTTAGCTATCACATGTCTGGCCATTTCTTTCCATCGTTAGGCTAGAATTCTGCTTGTCGGATTCCGCAGGTCCCTTTTTATAACACTTAGCAAACTGGATAGTAATTTCCTGTTTCATTGTCTGTCTTCCTAAAATAAGGGCACAATCCCTGGCATTTAGTAGAAGCTCAATAGAACAGACTTTGAAAGACTGAATTAATGATTTGAACCCCTCCCAGTTACCCCAGGCATAAAATGCACATTCTTTACATCATCTGAAGGATTACATATTAAGTGGAATTGACCATTCTGAGCTAAATTTGTTTTGACCAGTATTTGCTTATTAAGCATCTATTAATAAATTCTTCTAGACTCTGAAAATATTAACTCTCACTCTTAAGTAACTCACAGGCCAGTTGAGGAAGCAACACTAATATCTTTGAAATAATATTAAAATAATACAAGACAAAAATGACCTGGTATTATGTTCATCTTAATAAGGACACTTTATCTGAGAAGTGTCTCTAGATCCTTCTCCTAGCCTAAAATGACCTTACCCACCCCTCCAGGCTTCTCTCTGATGGAGCAGATCACTTCCTACCTAGTGTGGGGTGACTTAGACCCACAGCCCACCTCCACTCTGACCACCAGCTCCACCTCCTTGCACCTGAGAGCAGCCCGCACAGCGTCTTGCTCACAGCAGAAATGCAGCCAGAATCTGAGTG